TTTTGGTTATGAAGCCATGAAAATGCAGTTTACAGACTCCACTGGGGACATCTTGGTGCCTGCAAAGACTTCTTGATACCATCATATAGGAGAAAACTTCCACAGATGAAGATACTATGGAGTAAAATGATTCAATTGTTTCTCAAAACAGACTGAGCTGCTCATCCACATATTTGACTTTAAGAAACCACATTTGGCTACATAGGCCTGTTATCATTAACTACCATTCATCCATTCACTAATACATCAGCTCTGGCAGGTGTTTTCCAACCATCGGGAGCAACTTAGAGTACCAACAGCCTTTTGATTTAAAGACTGTATTTGTCTGGGTAAGGAACATTCTTCAGTGGAGTCCTAACTGCTCCAAATCAATACACAGAGTCGTCCCTTAAGTCAAAGCAATGTTTTACTTGCAGCAAGGAGCAAAATGTACAGCACAGAGTCTGAACAAGTGAATAACTAAAAGCATGAAGCATTGGTTCTTATATACAGAAAACAGAAGACAACCTCCTGCAAGTGTGTGTGTTTAGGCGTTATGGTGTTCTGACTCCCCGCTAAGGATGTCTTGTCCTTATCTCACACTCACAAGGTGAAAAAGAGGCAATGAACATTTACAGCATTCTCATACTTTTTACAAAGATCATTGGATCAAAACATAGAAGTATTCTAACAGTCTGATAATTGATTAGACTACATTTTACATTACTTACGCAAAAGATTATATTCCCTACTTTTAAGTCAGACTAATGATAGATTTTAGGTTCACTGATTAACTGTTTTACATCACTTTTCTATGTATAAAGAGTCCAGAGTCCAGGGGAATTAGTGGTTGTGATGCCAAGAGACAATATAACGCGTTGCTCTCACAGGAGAGAGAGGAGTGATAGGTGTGAATGTGAGTGTGCTTGGTTGTCTGTCTCTAAGTGTAGCCCTGTGATAGACTGGTTACCTGTCCAGGTGAACCTGCCTTCACCCTGAGTCAGCTGGGATAGGCTCCGCCCCCCGTGACCCCAGTGAGGATTAAGGTGTAGAGATGATGGATGGATGGTGATCTGTGCAGAAACAACATCAGGCTGATACAGACTGTAAAAGGTGGAAACTGAGTGACGTCTGCAGCAAACAATCAGAATATGTCACTGACTGACATGTAAAGCTCAGGTGAGCTCCAGTTACTCAGGTGTTCCTCTCCTCAGGTCCTCGGTGATGGTTACAAATCTGAGATCTGATGTAGGAGATAAAATGTGATCAATCGTGATGTCTTTTCTTGTTTGTTTCCTGAAATAACAAATTATTATAAAGTGAAGTAACTGAGAAAGCAAAGATTGAATGAGAAAAATCCCATGTTCAGTTTAAAGTCTGTCTGCTTGTGACGAGGATCCAGACTGATGATGCTGAAGCTTCTTTAGGTCTTTAAACTGTTCTGTTTGGTTTTCTGTTGAGGTTCTGGTCTGGTTCTGGTTGGAGGTATTTGCAGTGAAATATTCATCCTTCGCTGATCCAAAGTTCTGCAGAAAGTCAGAAATGACACTTTGTTCTTTCATCGGTTCTCCTGGTTCTGGTGGGAGACGTCCTGTTGTCTACAGGAGACTTCAAACCTTCTTTCATCAGCTCATGTTTCATGTGGACAGAAGGCTCAGTTCTCCTCCTGTGGTAGAAGCAGAGCGCCCCCTGCTGGACCCTTCCAGACCTAAGGCTCCACATCACGTTTACAGGCTTGAGATGCAGTGAAGGTGGAACTTTGCAGATTCCCAGTATTCCTGAACCGCTTCTGTGAGTTCATGTTTTCAGACTGTCAGCTGGATTTTAGCTTCAGAATAAATTCTGTTTGTGTTCCATAGATTCTGTCTGAGAGACAGATCAGACCCTTATTCTGATTCTGACCTGATCTGAGTCTGTGACACCAAAACAAACATCTGGTTGGTTCCAGAGATGATCAGAGATTCTTCACACAACGGCTGCATCTGTCCGAAAGATCTGAGACTCATATTGGTCATCTGCCCCGTTCTGTACCGATCTGGCTTTTTTCCCTCCAATTCTGGTTTCAAATCAGATCCTAAAGCTTTTATTAAATCAAAAACATGCAGCAGGGTGAAAACCTGAGTGAGATTTTCTAACTGAAAACTTTTTTGTTTCAATTTTATTTACTTCTCTTCAGTTAAACGGATCAGAAACCTTCAGCATCTCGTCTTCATCAGTTTCTGTCTCATAAAACAACTAGTTAACTTTTCAACGGATCATCTGAGAAACCTGAGATAAACCTGCAGCTTTCTCTTTAAATTTACACAAAATCACATCATCCGTCATTTCAATGTCACAATAAAACACTGCAGAGGCTTCGTTAAAGGGCAACTTTTATTTTCAAAGCAAATCACCAGAGTTAGTGTTTATTACACAAACTGTGTTTCTGTGGGGCTGAAAACATCAAAATATCTCCCATCTCTGACGGAACTATGGCTTTTTAATCTGATTGTAGATCGTCTCTGCAGCCTGACGCAGCTTTAGGACGTCGAAAACGTTCAGAGAAAAACTTAAAACTCCCTACAAGTTAAAATGTGAAAATCTAAATATTCTAAGGAAGAATTAGATGCAAAGAAAATGTGTTTGAATTTTACTTCTTCATCTTTGTCTTCAAATATCATATCATATAATATTTGAGTTATTTTAAACTTCACAGTCTGTCTCTGAGTTTTCAGGCTTCGCTGCTGATCTGTTAAACGAGATCAGACGGAAAAGGTTGGCAATAGAAACAACAGTCTGGTCCTTTAACAGTCTCAGCGTCCAACAAGTGAGAATACACCAGTGGCTGAAGAACAAAGGTTTCAAGGATGGATAATGAGATCTGTTTTCTCGTACCAAACATCAGGCTCACGATCAAATTTAAAAGGACAATTTGTGAAAAAGTTAAATTAAATAAATAAGTTAAAGATTGAAATGTGTCTGTTTTAGTCGAGTTTCATCTTTCAGTTGTTGTTTTAAATACAAAAAAAAAAAAATTAAAAGACAAAAAATAATGGAATAAACAGATTGATCAATTTTTCATTGCAGCGTTGACAGAACTGCGACTCCCAGAGTGCACTGCTGCAGGAAGCAGCTGATTGGCAGATAACGGCAGCTGAAATTTGAAGATGACCAGCTGTCGAGGATTGTGGGTGATGCAGAGCAGAGTGAGGAAGGTGTACCTGAACAGGTGAGTTCAGCGGCGTGTTTAAACTTCACACGATCAAAGTGGATCACAGGAGAGAAAAAGTGGTCCCAGATAATTTGTGAAACTATGCTGGACCAGGACCTTCAGAACATCTGGAGATGTTTCCCTTCAATTAGGAACTCTGAGGCTCATCATCATGCTTAAAGTCAGAGCAGCCGATTATTAAATGAAGCTAAAAACACAGAAATGTCTCAGAGGACGAATCAGGATCATCTTCAGCTCAGAGTGAATCAAAACTCATTGAAGGAGACATTTCAAATGAGCAGACACAGACAGTTAGAACTGTCGCTCTTCAGCCAATAAAGTTCCTAATAACCAAACCTTTACTGAAACTGAGGTTTTATCCAAAATCACACAGTTCTGAGGCCAGAATCATCTGTTCCAACCTTCATCTTATACTGCAACACCTGTGACATGAACATGTTATCATTCAAAGAGAAAACATCTTCTACACAAAAACAAGTGGATTCATTCATGTAAACCGATTATTATGACTGAGCTCAGTCTGATCAAATAAATTGCTTCACTGTCACATTAAGTTCTGAGAAAAAATACGACATAAAACTGAAACTGTTACCAGATTCAGACTGAAAAGTTCAGAGACCAGGTGAGGTCAGGAAGTGCTGCTGTTTTCTTCTTTTGGTCAAATTTTGAGTCACTTTCAACTATTTGATTATCTTCAACATCCACCTGGTGGTTTCCATGAGTTCGTCCTCCAGACTGAACTCAGAGTTCCACCGGAACGTCCTGAGAACATTGAAGCAGCTGAACTGTGATTCATGTCGCTGCTCTGACAGTCTCAGCTGATTGACACCAGATTTTGTCCACAACAACACAATCATTTCCGTCCTCAGACTCTCCAGATTTGTCATAAATCAGATTGTGTGACGTCGACATAAAGACCACAGGAACAATAAAGACAGCTGATAAAAACAGGTGATTTTACATAAAGACTAATTATAAATAAAAAAAATCTGTCTTGAAAGGATAATCTGAGTTAGTTCCAAGATCATGTAAAATCATATTTCGACTCCTCATTAATCTCTCAATGTGGAATATTCAGTGGGCAAATGTCTCACATCAAATCTAAAACCAACCGAGCTAACATTAGCTGTCAGGCTAACTACAGCTAACTAATGCTAACACGACACAGCTTTGCCCACATCTCCTGCTCGCTAAATATTTTCATTAGAACCATGCAGATCAATACTGTTGATCAGTTTATATCTGAGCTGATTAGAAATGTTCGGACATTGACAACGTTGTGCTTTGGTCCGCTACGGTTCCCTCATGGAATAAAACAAAAGTTGATACTGATGAAATATTGATGCTAACGTTGGCTCTGCAGTGAGCTGAAGGTGCTGATCCAGCAGGTGAGAACAGGTGGGCAGCAAACACTGACGTCACACAGGTGAGAAAAGTTTAGAGTGAACCGTTTCTATGTGAGCATGCTCACTAAAGCGTCAGCCGAAAGGGGCGGGGCTATTCCTTTGGGCTGGTCTGGGTGTAATGTGTCGCCGCCACTCCAGCTGCTCTGAGGTCAGAGGAGTGGGCGGGGTTTCGCCTTTAGAACTCCACCTTGCAGGCGGGGAAGGTCTCGTCCTGCATGGCGACGGTGCTGTTGCTGCCCAACACGGTGACCAACAGCTCCCGCTGCCGGTCATGGGTCTCCTGATACCACTCGTGCATCGTCAGCGAATCAAATGTGGGGATAAGAGTCACCTGTGGGCAAAGACAGACCAATCAGAGAGCAGGTTGAGAAGGTCAGCATGAGGTGAAGGTGCCGCCACAAACCTGGACATCTGGCCAGCTGCTCTTCCCGTCCAGCAGAGCGTCCAGGATGCTCCTCATCGACTCCTCCTTCACCGGATCGTCACCGCTCACAACATAGTACGACGAGCGAAGGCGTCGGAACAAGTCCGAGTCCACGGTGGAGGAGGCGCTGCCGGACGGCAGGTAGGCCAAGTCCACATAGACTGCAGCACCCTCAGAACCTGCAGCTCTGGAACCTGCACAACAGAACACATTAGATTTACCTGCTCCTCCAGCTTCATGCTGTTTTCCACCTGGACACTGCAGTCGGACAGAATCAGCCTTTTTCCAAATGATTTCCAAAGACAGTTCACATTTGGTGCGGTTTCATTGAAAAAATAAATACCAAAGAAAAACTGCTGGTTCCACAGAGCTGCAGGACTTAATATTGCAGAGAAACATGAACCCCAGTGAAGAAAAATGAGACTGAAGCAAAAACTGCCCAAAAACTGCCTGAAGTTCAGAGAGGTAACTTAAAGCTTTCTTGTCAGAGTTCTGAATAATGTTTCAGTACAGAATTAAAATCGGAATAATAGTTTCATGACCTACCTGAAGATGGCGGTTTTGCTGCTCCTATTCTGGATCCCCCAAGTGAACTTCGCAATGATGGCTTGGTGTCAAGGCTGGACGCCATCTTCAGAGAGCCGGTGGAGCTGCCGGCCTTTGACTTCCCGTTCTGGGTGGCGGCTGCTCCAGTCGCCTTTGTACCTGCAGGTTTCTTGGTCCTTGCAGCTGAAGTCTTTAGGCTTCTGTTGGTCTCTGTATCAGCCATGCAGGCTCCACGCTGAGGGGGTAATGGGGGCAGATCTTTGACCGGGGCAGGTGGGGGGTCGTGCAGCTGCCCCACTCTGTGGGTTGAGTGCGGACCAGGATAATCTGGTGGATAACTGGGAGGGAAGAGGCTGCTGGAGTCCTCATCAGAGTCGGAGTCTGCAGTGATGGAGGGACACTCCTCGGTGCCAGGAGGGACGTCGGAGTCGGTGGCAGTTGGCAGAGAGTCGCTCACCGATGTGGGCGGAGTCTCCTGACTGTAGGCTGAAGGACAGTCACTGCTGCTCTGGTCCCGAGAGCAGTTGTTGTTGTCAAAGTAGTTCGGTGAGGTGGTAGCGGCGAGACCTGGGCTCACGTGCTGCTGGTGAGTCTCGGGGGTCCAGGTGTGCTGGAACTCACAAGGGGACACCAGGCACAGGTCCACATCATGGGGGGCGTCTGAAATGAGCTCTGACATACCGTGTATGTGACCCTCCGGTCCACAGCGTCCATTATGGGATGACCTCAGAGGTAAGACCAACCCAGTTTCTGAGTCACTGACATGTCCGTTGGAGTAGACTTTGGGTGACGCTGCAGCAGGAGGCAGCGCTTGTTCTAAAGAAACTGACAGTGATTCATCGACTTCTGTAGAGTGTGGTGAGCCAACCTCTGCTGGCAGGGAGGTCATAGTGGGGGAGGAGTCTGGCAGGATGTCCCTGAAAGGACTGAGTGTCAGCAGGCTGGACTGTTTGTCCTGAGAGGATGTGGAGTTTTCCAGACCTTCTCTGAGGGAGCTGAGGTCTGACGTACGACAAGAACCTCCCTGGTTGTAATCCTCAAAGCCCAGACTGGAGCCTCTGGCCTCAAGGCCGCTGTCCTCGCCCAAACCCCGAGTGTCCTCCGCAAGGGACTGATGGAAAGGGGTGTGTCCGGCGCTGTTTGGGGCAGAATCTGCAGGAGAGACCACCTCTAGAGTTTTCTCTTCGGAGTTCATGCAGACGTCCAGTCCCTTCTTTAGCAATCCCTCCACTGGTTGGTACGCAGTCGGAGTGAGATTGAAGTTGACGCTGGGAGCGCATTTAGGTGTTTTGGTGACCGATGCCCGGTCCGTCTCCATACAGCGGAACGTCTCTGGACTCTCTACTGTCGTGGTCTGGTTTGCATTGGCCTTTACTTCATCTGAATTCACCGCCGTAACCTTTGTGCTCTGATTGTTACCATTGTCATCTTCCAATCGAAGCTTTTCAAATTCAGCCGTCATGTCCTCCGGCGTTGATACTTTAGATCGATCGGCCTCCTTCTGGCTCTCCTGCTCCTTTGAAGCCAGCTTACCTTTAGTCCCTTTGTTTAGAGTGTCTTTCTTTGGAAGCGTCCCATCTTTCTTCAGCGTCCCACCTTTACCTGCAGCCTTCCTCAGATCTGTACTTGCTGTCGACGCTGCACTTGAAGCTCCACTTGCCGCTTTCTTCACTTCTTTAAGCATTGGCTTTGTCACTTTCTTTTCCTCTGCTTTTACATCCTTCTTGCTGTCTTTTTTTGGTTCAGGTTTAAGGTCTTTCTTTGGCTTCATACTTGTGATTTCCTTCTTTGTGGCTTCTTTCTTCTTCTCTGCACTCTCGTCTTTCTTCACAGCAACAGCAGGAGTCTTGTCATCCTTCTTCTTTACCTCCTTCTTCTCATCTTTCTTTGGAATGAACTTTTCAGCAGGTTTTGCTGGCTTCAATTTAGCATCTGCTTCCTTAATTTTGGGCTTTTCTTCAGCATCCTTTCTCTCTTTAGGTGCAGTATCCCCAGCTGCCTTTGGCTTCGTTTTCATCTCTTGTTTTTTGACATCTACTCGTCCAAGTTTGTCTTTTGTCAAGGCACTGCTGGGTCTGAAGTCCTTTGACTGGGACTTAAGGCTTTCTCTACTTTCTGCTCGTTTTGGTTGCTTCTCAGTTTTGGATGTTTCTAGATCATTCAAACACACTGATGGATGTTTGAGGAACTGTAGATGTTTGAGTTTTTCAAGTCCATCTAGAATTTTGGTCTGCGGTGTGCACCCTGGGAACAGAACACGAATGATTTTCTCCTGAGGGCTGGATGGATGCCAGACCAGCAAAGCACAAATGGAAACAAGGCATGGTAGTGGAAGATCTGAATCTTTTATGTTGGATCCATCCTTTGGCCAAATCTGCATTAAAGCTTCAAGTTCTTTACTGCCACTGACAGGGTTCAGCGTGTATAGCTCCAGACGACCAACTCCCATCTTCTGGAACAGAATCACTGGTTCTATGGTGGGTCCACTGGACCGGATCAGAGGTTCAGGCTTGATCTCCAGTCGGTTTAAGTGTTGCAGAGTCAGTGCCGCCAGGTCAGAGCTCCGGAGCTCACTGGGATCCCCCTGGATGGACTTCAGTCTGTCGGTAATGTTCAGGAAAACCACACCGATCTCCGGGGAGATCAGATTCTTCATCCAGTCCCCGTCCACTTGAGATCCAGCTGAGTCCTCGTCCTGCTCGGCCACTTTCCTCAGCAGCAGACTGTTCAGCCCTGGCAGGTTGTCCACGCCAATGTGAGTCAGGAGCACTGAGTCGATCCTGTCCAGGTGTCGGACCAGTTTCCAGAAGCAGGAGCGGGGATCAGAGCCGCCGTTGACCAAAATGTTAAAACCGTTAACAGCAAAAAAGGCAGAGTCTCCCCTCCCACCGGGGAAAATGTAGCAGCAGGGCCGGGACAGCTTCAGGAAGCCCACAGTGCTGGGCGGCTCCAGCAGGTCAAAGGGCGACTCAGGCTCCAGAGCTTCAGACAGGTACTCGGTGAACTCCTGCAGACCCTCCATCTCAGGCAGAACCACAGGCGGGTTGATCCGAATGTTCATAAGGACCTGCAGGTTGTGGTTCTGCAGCACCGAGTCCTTCCAAAGACCCAAGTCTGGACAGCAGAGGGTGAGGCTGGCCTTCAGCGCTGGGTCAGCCGAGTTCAGCTGCTCTGTAACCTGCCAACACAAAGAGGAGGTGAATGATGAGTCCGTTTTGTTTTATTTACACACACAGGAGTTCTACGATGAGTCTAGTTCTGCTCAGTGTTCTCACCTCCTCATCTGAGAAGATGTGGATCAAGTCTCTGAGGGAGAAGCAGCCTTTCTGTAGCACAATGTCTCCACAGTCCTCCACACACTGACCCGCCAGAACCAGCAGTTTGTGCCGAGACGAGTCGCAGATCAGACGCCGAACCTGAAACGAAAACAGTAAACAAACGGTAAACAAACAAACATGCCATCACACTGCAATCACATGGAGCGATCAGATGATTAGAGTAGCTCTGCAGCAATAAACGGACCTCCACATTCAGACACATGACTAGCGTCAGGCCCACAGACCATCTCTGTGAGCTGCTTCCTCTGACTCACCTCTGAACAGACCAAGTCGTGTGCTGGATTCACCAAAACCTGAGTGTCCAGAACATCCCCGCTGTGCTGCAGAGTCCGCTGACCTGCAACACACCAGCATCAGTCAGAGCTCAGGTGACACACAGGTGTGCTAAGAAACACTGCAGCCACTGATCTTCCTTCAGGTGTTCTGAGTTTCTGCTTTGTTGCTCTGAAGGAAGTTTTTTCTATCAACACCATTTATCTCCCTTCAGCTCAAACTTTACAATCAGACTTTATTCAGACAGAACTTTGAAACAAATCAACTGTAGTTCAAATTTCTTTACACGACAAAACATTAGATGTTAAACAGATGTAGAGATGAATGCAGATACCAAAGAATAAAATAAGATGAAAGAGAGACGAAGAAAAACGTGACTATAGAAGACGGATCTGTAAAATGTATATGTTTAATATCATCATCATTCTTGTGTGTGTGTGTGTGTGTGTGTGTGTGTGTGTTGTGACCTTCCCGCTCCTGAACATTGTCACTCTGCTGTGACAATGTTCAGTTTCCCAGCATGCCCTGCAGGAGCAGCGTTCTCACCTGGAACATGTTCTGAGAGGAAAGCTGAGTGTCTGGACACGAAGAGCTTCAGTTGCTGATCCAGAACCGAAACATCCAGATCCACGGGCCAACAGCGCACACCTGAACACACACCACACAGCAATCTATAATATTGATTATCAGTTATGGTTCATTTATCAGCCAGAACGTGTAGGAACAGAAAGAATCGACAGATTTTCAACTTCTCTCATCTAAATCACTTTATGTCTTAGTCAAACAATCTCCAAAAGTGAAGTTTTTGCTGTAACCAGATGCTGTGGAGCCAGAACCTTCCTCCTCCTGGTTCTGACCCTGTAGAACCAGAATCTTCTACTTCCTGGTTCTGATCCTCCACCGCTGACTCAGCTGTGACCAACAGGAAACATTCAAAGAGTTTCCAGGTGAACTGCAGGCAGTGTTTCCTCAGAGAGACTGAGAGGAAAATCCAACCTACTGGATCAATAAGTAAATGCAGCATGGCTCAGAACCAGTGAACAGAGGAGCCAGTTGTTGGAGATACATTCAGCATGGTGGAACATCTTTCTACAGCTGATGGTGGAACATCTTTCTACAGCTGATGGTGGAACATCTTTCTACAGCTGATGGTGGAACATATTTCTACAGTTGATGAGCAGAGCAGAGAGGAAAAGTCTGGAGACATGGAGATAGTTCAACATCTGCAGGACGAGGAGACGACATGAGCTCCAGGGTTTTCTGAGTTCTCTCTCCTTCTTCATGGTGTTCTGGTTCCACAGAGCTGCAGGACTTTATGTTGCAGAGAAACATGAACCACAGTGAAGGAACATGAGACAGGAGCTGCTGGCAGTCAACAGTGATTGGTCACATCACAGCTGTACTGACCAATCCGTTTAAAACCCTCCTTAGTTCACAGAGTGACACCTCCTCCTTCTTCCTCATATCTCTGTTCAGACGGTTTCCTCACAGCAAACACAAGCTGCTCGTATATACCAACAACTTCCTCTTTGTGTGTCAGCAGTTACAGCAACACAACACAACACAGCAGCAACAAACAGGCGAGAACCTGCTCAAAACCAGCCTGATAAACTGAAACAGCCTGCAGCCTGAGCAGTTGCCACAACACAAACACAACACAACCATCAGCACAGACATTAAACTGTTCAGAACCAACCGGGCCTGAATGTGCTGCAGTGACGAGCTCTAACATGTGATTGTGTTTTTCAGTCGCAGAATGAATCCTTGGAGCTGCAAACACACTGAACTGCTCTGAACACATCGTTACACTCATTACACACTAATTATACACAGTGATAAATGTTAAACGGTGTCTTTATGTGTACAATGAGCGTGTAATTTTATCTCCAGAGCAGCTGATCCACACCATGACGCTCAGACTGTGGTTTGTGTTCTTATTATGGTTGTAGTTGTGTGTTTCAGATGAAGCTCAGACAGTCTGACACCCACAGACTCCTCAGTGACATTAGTTATAATAGAAATAATATTTATGGCAATAATATGAAATAATATTGATAAATGTGTCTGTAGACTGCAGGTTCTGGTGGCTGCTGTCTGTACAGAACTGTTCAGACCGGAGACCTGTTACGGTGCTGGTTCATCGGTCCGTTAGTGCCAGCATTCTGTCATTCAGACTTAGGTCACTGTTCTGTTCATGTTCTGTTCATGTTCCTGCAGTCAGACATGAACCCTCAGTGCTGGTAGAACCGCAGTAGAACCAGATATTGATCAGTGATGAAACTAAACTAACAGCAGCTGATCAAAGAGTCCAGATAAGGACGAGCTCAGTTTATCTCCAATTCCTGGAACAGTGAGAGTTGAAATGTTCCGTGCAGCTGATGAACAGCTCACCTGTCTGAGGTGAGCAGGTGTTCCAGCTGCTCACCTGTCTGAGGTGAGCAGGTGTTCCAGCTGCTCACCTGTCTGAGATGAGCAGGTGTTCCAGCTGCTCACCTGTCTGAGATGAGCAGGTAGCAGGTGTTCCAGCTGCTGCTGGTCCATGTTGGATCACTGATCATGACACCGGTTCAGTGTGTCGATGCAGCAGCTGGTTGGATCCTGCAGATGTTACACTGACTCAACAGTTCAAACTCACTTCAGCTCCTCTCAAATAGTCTGATTACATCCTTACTGGTGAGTCCCAGTAAAAGTTTTGTTCTGATTGGTTATCAAGTTTCTCTGAGATGTTTCTATGTTGGTGCGAAAATGTGTAAAAATCCTTAAATCACTCCCTACAGCTGCTGGTGTCCGTTAATGTGACGGTGCGGTTCCCACGCTGCTCCAAGTTCTACTGAAACGTGCGTCGGTCCGACCCGGTTACGTTTTACTGTTACATTCACACACGCAGCAGGCAGATGAACGGAACACGGAGCAGGTCTGAACGAGCAGAACTGGTCCGTTAGCTCTCCGTTAGTAGTCTGCTAGCTGTCCGTTAGCTTTCCGGGTGTATCCTCATTTCAGCGACTCGCAAAGTTTCCAAAATAAAAGATCTGAAATAATGGGATGAAGCTCTCAGCTAGCTAGCATGCTAACATGCTAACAATACTCTCTGAACGGGACCGTTACCGTGTTTTTACTGAAGTTGGAAACACGCTGCGGCTCTATACACCGGACGAGAACCAGGACAAACCCGAACACCGGACAGAATCGGCAGTGTGAACCAGCAGCTCGGTTCTTATAGGTTCCTTTCTGTTCGTGTGCCCGGTACCGGAGAACTCACCTGAGTCTACCTGCCGCAGCACTCGCTCCAGCAGCCCGGCGGGCCGCAGCGCTCCAACCACCACCACCACCGAGTGTTCCGCCGCCGCAGGCCCCGACGAGCCGGGAGGAGAAGAACCGGGACCGCCGCCCCGCTCCGCCGCCATCATGGCACGGACTGTCCGCTGCTGACGTCAGCCGCAGCCGCACGTACAGCCCCGCCCACGCTGCGAATGACCAATCAGAGAGGAGAAGCCAGCAGCTGGCCCATGGGCTGGCCAATCAGAAGAGAGGAGGCATTCAGGATGTCTCAGGAAACATAAGCTTCGTTTGGAACTTCAGCAGAGTTTCAATGTTCCATAAATGTGATAAAAACAAAAATTCTGTCAACCTTTAATAAATCTGTAAAAAATGATTTAATATAATGTGAACAGATTGTTGTCACAAATCATTCAGCTTCAATTTATTCCACAATTCCATAAACAAGTCAAGTCCATTTTCAAAAAAGAAACATGAATTTACATCTAACTGAATTAGCGTGTAATTTAATCAAAACAGATATCTGCATAATCAGTTTATTCTTCAGGTAAAATGATCAGACGCTGTTTAACTCTGTAGTTTCCGTTTGTGGTGTTGTTTCCTCAGCTGCTTTATTTCCACCGCCCTGTGAGCCCCTGAACGCAGCTCGGTGTTGTCCGGTGTCATGGCGGCCCAGGTGCCCGGTCGGTGCTCGTACTTCGTGCAGAAGAAGAACCGTTTCTGTAAGATGGTTGTGGGAAAAGGGAAGCTGTTCTGCGGAGAACACGCCAACATGGTGAGTTCACGGACCGTGTTGCGTTCATGGGCTTCACCGCAGAGCAGAGACACGTGGCGACCGACGGAGGCTCTTGCCCTCCTGAGGTGGCCCCCAGAATACATATTGTGTCCTCAGATACTCCGGTCTGATCATTGATCAGGTCCTTGTGTTGAACAGTTCGCTGCAGGTTTAGTTCAAACATTATTTCTTTCGTTGTGCTGAATTCAGCTGAACATCAGTGGATCCAGTTGGTCCATGATTGTTCCTTCATCTTCCATCCAGAACATCAGCTGACCACAGCCCGTTTGTGTCATTAAAGCTGCATTGTAAGGTTCTTTTGAAGTCGCTGGTGAGGATGTTAATTGATTAATTCAACAAATAAACAGATGAAACTGGGCATGATATCAGAAAATGTATATTAGATCAGCTGTTAGATAGTTAGAAGATAGAAAGTCACACATTCATTTGTCAATCACAGTTTTCTTCCTGAAGGGGGCGGGGCCAGGAGCAGGGGGCGGGGTCAACAGCAGGTCATTAAAGCTACAGACACTGAAAGAGTTCAGAATAAAACCAGGGTTATGATGAAGCATCTCTGACTGAGACATTTTCTGACTTTAATCTGAATAAATCAGGATCAATATGAAGCTTTAAAGAAATTTTTTAAGGATGTTGATGAATTACAAATCAAACTAAACGATTGATTGTGGTGATCACTTGACTGTGTTTCAGGAGGGGGCGGGCAGCAGGAGGATTGTGTGTCCATTGGACCCCAAACAGTGAGTCATCAATAATCACTGATGGATCAGATGTTTGATTGATTAAATAAGGAAACCAGTCAAAATGCTCCTGCTGCTATTTATTGCTGCAGTTGGTGGCGCTGCTGTTTTCTCGTTTCAGCACCGTGACTGAAGACAAACTGCAGAAGCATCTGAAGAAGTGTAACTCCAGAGAGAAGCCCAAGCCTGTGAGTCACAACAGATCCAAACTTTATCAGCTGAGTTATTGATGAGAGACAGCTATAGAGTCATTATATATATATATATTCATACAGGATCCACACAAACAGATGCTGTTTTACTGCACAAATATGTCGACTCAGAACTCATGAATCAGTGTTTGACTTTCCGTAGGTTTATTTTGTGGAGAACATAAATGCCGGATCAGCTGCCGGAGACGAGACGCTTCATCAGGTGACAACTGCAACTGGTTATTTTTAGTATTCATCATCATAAGAGTAATAATAACATTAATAATAATAATAACAATAAACTCCACCGACAGGTGAGTCTGTCGGAACGCAGCAGGTCAGAGGTGGAGTCTCTGCTGGACAAACTGAAGACGGTGGTCAAAGGTGAGCTGACCAGTGTTTCAATGTTGGGGGTGAAATATTATGTTTCTGAACATTAAAGCAGATAAACGTGTTCTAGTACAATCAAACATACAATCCTACAGCTGCATGAGCAGAATAATGGAGCTTCAGCTATCGTCTGTCAGTGGTGTTGCTCATGCTTCAGAGGATTCCTGTCGTTGCTGTAGGTCTGCAGTGTGACCTGGAGGACAGAGTTCTGTCTCATCCCGTCCTCCACGATGAACTCAACAACCCAAAGAATGGAGACTCCGCCTACAAACACCTGAAGCAGCAGGTAGAGAACACCAGCGTTGAGCAGAGTGACCACAAAAACCAAACAAAACAAACTGTAAATTCTGTCTGACTAAGTTCAACAGGTTTCAGGTAAAACTATATAAACTAAATTCTGACTCTGCCTTCTGTGAAATCTAATGAAAACAATCAGTTCTCATTTATCTGCTCCATGACTTCACAGTGACACGCCTTGATTTGGCCCCGCCTCTCTGAGTCTCAGATTAATCTCATCTGACCTGCCAGGTGTGTTTAGTCCTCCATCTTAGGTCACCTGGAGGCGTTGGGGCTGCTGGGAAGGGGGCGGTGCTTCGTAGAGTTCGGCGCAGGTCGAGGAAAATTGTCTCACTGGATCCACGAGGCGCTGAAGACCTGCGACGGGCCAAAGACCTGCGATGACCTACAGCTGCTGCTGGTGGAGCGCTGCAGCACTCGCTTTAAGGTGCAGACAGTTGTTCACTCCTGGTTCTTAAATCTAAACCGCAAAACCCCCGAACTGGGCGTCAGACTTTTTTAAACCGAGCAAAGCTGATCAGTTTGATTGATTGATCACTTTGATCGACGTTGTGTTGCAGGTTGATGGGAAGCATCAGGAGGACAGCGTTTCGTTCGAGAGGCTGCAGGTCGACATTCAGCATCTGGATCTGAGTAAGAGACGAACATCTGCTGCTCTGAGTTTGATTGATCGATCACGTTGATCGGTCACTTTGACTGAACTCGGCTTTGATTTTCTGCATGTTTGCAGGTAAAGTTCCTCTGCTGCAACACAGGAGCCTCCCATTGGTCGGAGTAGGGAAACACCTGTGTGGAGCAGCGACAGGTGAGAACGGGCCACACATTCTGAACTCTGGGGCAGCCCTGGCTCAGGCGGTAGAGCGGCTGTCCTCTGATCAAGGGTTGGCAGCTTGATCCCCTCCACAGGCCAAGTGTCCTTGGACAAGACCCTAAACCTGAAGTTGCTCCTGATGGCAGGCAGCACCTGTCACTGTTGGTGACTGAATGTGTGTGAATGGGTGAATGAGAAACACTGTAAATCGCTTTGAGGACCACTAAGGCAGAAAGGAGATATATGGGCACAGACCATTGCAGACCATGATCGGCTTTCGGCAGCGTCAGTCACTTCAGGGGCGTTTTAGACACAAATGACGCTCAAATGAGGCAGCATCACGAAAGATGATTGACAGAACAGGATGTCAAACTGAACAAAAAATGGTGACTCGCTTGAAAACTTTCATTCAAAAATCTTTTCACCAGAACCTCTGAGGGCTTAACCTACTGGATCTGTGGCATCTGGAAGCTCCTGATCTGGAGCACAAAAGTGAACAGAGACTATCTCAGATGTTCCTGAATGTTTTTATCTTTGGATTCATTCAGAACTTTGTGCTGCTGATTTCAATGATCAAACAGAAGCTGCAGACAGAAAACCTGTTGAATCAACTTTATCCTTCCTGTAGTGAAATATTTCCATACAAACGAACAGAGCTGCAGCATTATGGGCAAATGATCATCAGCATTATTTATCACCATTCATTGGTTTTGATGATAAAATGGTCTTTTAGATGAACAACAGTAAATGAAAGTTTTCTAGAAGCAGGGCGCTCCTCCTGCTTACATAGAAAATGACTGTGGACATGAACCAAGACTCCAAACTAACTCGTGACTCCAAAACCTCTCCGCAGGTTTTCAGAACCAACCAACAGTTTTCTCTCACACTGATCTGGAGCAGCAGGTCATAAAAGAACAAAGAACTGATCAAATGCATAAAAAGCAACATTCTGGCACCATATCAGGGTTCGAGGGTAACTTCCCTTCTTAGTCAATGCAGTAAAGGTTTGAGGGACTCAGCTGGTTCTGTTCTGGTTCTGTTTCAGATCTGGCTCTACGCTGTCTGTTGGAAACACCAGGACCCAGAGATGCAACTGAACCACCCCAGAAACGCCTCAAACCATCCGAACCAGCTGAGCTAAGACCAGGGGATGATCCAGGAACGGCACCAGCAGACTCTGGTCCGGGTCCCGGTCCAGTGTTGGGCCTGGCGGTGGCGCTGTGCTGTCACCATCGCTGTGAGTGGCGTCACTACGTCGGGCAGCAGTTCTTCCTGGAGCGAGGACTCGGAGCTGCTGAGTTTTCTGCCTTCTGTCGGATGTCCAGCTGGGCCACATGTGGACTCAGACCGACCAATCAGGACCGCTCCCCGCAGGATCCGACCAATCAGAGAGGAGACGATGAAGAGCATGAACCAGCAGAAGAGACAGACTCCGTTAACAGGTAAATATTCAACAGGCAGCCTGTCAGCTGTTTTCTGTTGGTCCAACAACAGCCAATCAGGATTTAGCTGCGTTCAGGTGCAGTAGGACAGTTTGCACAGAGATGTTTAATGAGGCGATTCCTGTGAACAGCAGTTCCTAATAAAGATGCTTGACTGGAGCACAAACGTGAACAGAGACTAACTCAGACGTTCCTGAATGTTTTTATCTTCCTGTTCATTCAGAACTTTGTGCTGCTGATTTCAACGATCAAACAGCAGAAAACCTGTTTAATCAACTTCAACCTTCCTTTGGTGAAATATTTCCATATAGATGAACAGAGCTGCAGCATTATGGACAAATGATCACCAGCAGTATTTGTCACTGTTATTCATTGGTTTTGAAGATAAAATGTGATATTTTCAGAGTTCTGCTTCCACTTCATGTTCAGCTACATGTCTGCTAATGTTTAAATCAGACTGAAAATCATCTGCAGCTGGATTCAGAGCATCTCCTGGAGGCTGAATATGAACTAAACAGAACCAGAACTCCTCACTGGCCAAACATCAGCTGATCTACAGACACTGTTGTTTACAGATGTTCCCTAAACGCCTCACAGTCACCAGTAGATGCTGTTCTGTGCAAAGAGAAGCCTCTAGTCTCCGTCAGTTACTGTGTCACCCTGGTTGTATGTCTGTTGTGTCATCCTGGTTGTGTGTCTGTTGTTAGGTTTGTTGCAGCAGCAGACCGGCAGCAGGTCGGCCATCTCTGTAAGCTACTGATTGACTGTGGCAGACGTCACTTCTTGAAGACTAAAGGCTTCAGCAGCAAACTGAGCCGGTACGTCTCCGCTGATGTCACTCTGGAGAACGTTCTACTGACCGCTGAACCTTCATCCTCCTCCTCCTCCTCACTCTGATGTTCAGCTGCAGTTCAAGGAGAAGTGTTGTTTTCTGTTTTCTGCCACAGTAATTGAATCTTTGCATTTTGACGCCATCTTGGAATTTTCTGATCCACATGATTCATCTGTTATAGAGATGTTCTAATCAAGTTTTTTATACCCCTGATCCAACCAGAGCCAATTAGTATTCAGTATCTGCAGATACAGAGTTCCAATCCGATAACATTTTCCTCCATAAACACTTCAAGTACATTGAAGTTATTAAAATCAATCCAGTGTATCTGCTTACCAACCAAATGTCTCTGTAATGCATTAAGAAAACCCTGCATCTCTACCTCCAGTCTGTTCCTTAATGTTCTGTCGATGGAACCTTGTAGTAAAGTTCTGATAGAACCCTGTCTAAATGTAGAGTTAGAGGCTACATGATGTCAGTAAATGGATCATAGACCAGCTGTAGTACCTGGTTGTTCCACCAGGTGGAGCCTCTTCTTGTTTAAACTCGTAGAGACTAGAATAGGTGTCACTCAGTCTACAGTTCATGTTGGCAGCAGAGAGCATTCTGGGAGTTTAGCAGCAACGGGACCATGACAGAGACTCTGAGGAGGTTGATGACCTCCAACCAGAACTGATGGGTTTAAGACATGCTGGAATCAACCAGAACAGAGGTCCGTATCACTGTGATTACTGATTGGAAATACTGCTAAATACTGATTATAAAATAATCATAAACTAGCATCCCACCGCAGATTGTGCACACATGTGACAGAAGACGTAAACTACAGATCGGACAGAGGTTTGATACACATCAGTTAAAACAATGTGTTGATTATCTACGACCCTCATCCCTGAGATTTGATCAGAACATTCCTCATCATCACAGTAAAATCTGCAGCTGACTGAAATAAGAAAAGCAGATTTGTGTTTCTGAAAAAACTTTTTATTGTTTTACTAAAATGAAAATCTTAACCAGACTGAATGTGTTCAAATGTTTTGTAAAGTTTGTATTAAAGCCTTTTCAGTTTCCTGTTTCAGTAAACGTCATACAAGCAGTTGTGGTTCTGACCCAGTTCAATAGAATCAGTTCAAAGCTGGAAAACCTGAAATAAAGCGGAAGAAACAAACAGGAGCTGAACAAACACCAGTTTCGGTCTGAAATCTTCCAGGTGAAGCTGCAGCTGAAGAAGAAACGACGGATCGGTTAATCTGAGGACTCGTCGTTCGTCTCTGAAACGTTCAGAACAGAAACATGTCAGAATATCAGACGGGTTCACTTAAAGTTCATAAAACTAATTCAGGTTAACAACAAAATGGATCAGTAAAACTTTAGTGTGCACATCAATACTGTTATTGATCCTCTTCATGTACCAGATTAATAAACTGAAGGAACAGAAGGAGTCAGAGGGTTTTAGGTTCCAGTTAAAGGTCTCGGGTTAGAGTCCTGGTTCAGTCCAGACTGTCACACTGTGCAGGGTTAAAGTGTTAACGTCCACGGATGTTACTGTCCAGCAGCTCCACTAGGACTCATGGCTACTAACGGTTGACACAGTGCATGTTGAGGACGGCGAAAGCTCTCTTTCTGGACTCCTGGATGTACATCTGCATGAATTCTCGTCCGAACATCTCCCTGTCGTCCTCGTCATCCTCGACTGTCCTGGACGGCAGCGTCACATCCAGAGTTAGAGGGTTGTCCCGGAAATTCACAAACCTGCTCCAAAGAAAATGTAAAAGGTCAAGGTGTGTTAACACTGAGGGCCAATTGCTCTGCACGAACAGACTAAGCAGCGGACAGACGTACCTGAGCATGGACAGACGTACCTGAGCATGGACATGCCCTCCATCAGAGGGGGGATGTCTCTGAGCCGGTTGCTGCTGAGGACCAGCGTGTCCAGACTGTCCATCCTGCTGATGTTTTCTGGAAGTCTCTCCAGCTCGTTCCTCTGCAGCCACAGAGTGTGCAGCTTCTGCATCCTGAGGACAAATGTCTTGCTGGTCATTGGCTGCTGGCCGAAGGGGGCGGGGCTCGGCGTGTCTTCATGTCCTACCTGTGTATGTCATCAGGTAAGTGCTGGAGGCAGTTTCCTCCCATGTCAAGCCACTCGAGCGCTGGCAGATCCACCACACAGTCCGGCAGGACACTGAAGTTGTTCATGGACAGATCAAGGTGCTGCAGCTTTGTCAGCATCCTCAGCTGGAGACAGAGGACAGAACAGACCTCAGACCAGCTGGACCAGAACCAGGTCTACAAGGAACCAGGCCTACAGGCATACGGACTGCAAAACCAGGACAACAGAAACTATTAAGAGATGCTGGGGTTTGGGGTCCACACATGGGTCAGGCTTATACCTGGTTTAAAAGCTTCTTAAGTGAACCTGGTATCTGGTTTTGGTTCTGACAGCTACTTGGAGATTTAGGTCTGGAATCCAGATTAGGTCTGTGTTCATACATTATCTGACAGTTGGTTCAAGTTTGTATTTGTACCTGTTCTGATCAGGTTTATTCCTGCTTTTGAAGCTGACTCTGTGCACCTGATCAGGGGGTTGATTCTCACAAAGAAGGTCTGGATTTGGGTTTACATCTGGTTTGGATTCACATCTAGTTTACAAATTATTGGTCTGATTCACAAATGAAGCTGGTTTCAGTGTGGTTCTTAGGTTTGCACTTGCCCAGGTATCACCTCACACCTGCAAAGTTGTTCTGGTTTTTATCTGGTTCATGTTCACGCCTACTTTGGAACTTCTCATCGTTCTGTTTTTGTAGCACAGTGGTAGCCAGTTCAGGTTGATGCTGACACCAGGGGCCTGTACTGCGAAGCCAGATCGACATACCCAGGATATCTTTCAGAGATCCAGCTTGACTAACCTTAACAAACGCAGTCAGGTTAGCCGGTCTTACAACGGTGGTGATCAACTCAGTAAGTCAACCCAGGTTTGTCTGATCTGAGTATGAGCGCGTGCACATAAAATGGGCGGAGTTATCAGCATCTGACCAATCAGGACTATGGACAAATCTGGCTGCAGAGCGGCTCACTTTACCGCCGAGGAGCAGAACATAACCTTTACAAAATATGAAGAATAATATTAAAACATCATAGGAGCAAAACACAGCACCATTGCAGCGACCAAGGCCAGAAAGGAAAGCTGGCAGAAACCTGCCGACTGTGTGAATGTATCAGTTCATTAGTTTATCATAAGATATGATCACTGGTCCATCATGAAGGCACCTGAGGATTCCTTTAATTAATGTGCTGCCTAATGTATAGACTTGTGGCAATTCTGCCATGTTTTACTTTCAGCTGCAACCCTGGCGGTGTAAAAAGGACGCGGGAACAAATTAACACAGAAACATAATTCAAAGCAGTGCAGCTTATTAACATATCCTACAAATACAAGCTTTAATGCTAAAATCAGTTTACTGCTGTGGGCTGATATTGGTATGGAATAAATATGAAATAGCTTTGACATTGTCTGTAGCCAACAGGAAAAAACTGAATGAAGGAAGACAGGAGCTCATAGAGATCCTGGTCAGGGGGCACTGTTTGGCCGGTCCTGAAAAACCCTCACACTCCTCAGTGATCCCTCACAGCTCTGATAAGTAGCAGCTCTTCTATAAATGCTGATGAGGTCATTTTGTTGAGAACTGCTTCGTTTTCTGCTCCTTCTGAAGTTTTACAGGAGAGAACTGGTTTTTAGTGGGGGTGTTTTTATACCCAGTGATGTCAACCTCCAACATAACCTGCTGCGGAGCAGGGTAGCCATCCAGCCAAGTTACCATGGTGATGTACCCGGTAAGAAGTGAACCACCATCGTAGGACTGAAAACCCAGGATTTAACCTGAAGTTAACTCGCTAACCCCAAATCCTGCTTCGTAGTACAGGTCCCTGGTCTATAAGCGGTCTGAGGTGATGGTTTACACCTGGTCAGGTGCTTGGTTTGGGTTCATACCTGGTCAGGCAGCTCACTCAAGTCCCGGTTCATGGCCAGCTCGAGTCTCTCCAGACTCTCACAGCCGCTCAGCTCTTCAGGGACAAACTGGATCCTGTTGTAGCTCAGCAGCAGCTCTCTGAGACGGGTCAGCTTCCCTGAAGCAGAACCAGAACACCAGGAGACTGAACTGTGCTGTGAGCTGAGACCAGTTCACGTGAAACTGGTTCAAATGAGGTTGGTCCAAAATCCCACACATCTGGACTATCATCAGAATAAACTGAACTTTAATTTAGAAGAGGTTGTGCTCACCAATCTGTTTCGGAACCTCAGTGACCCCATTCCGGGACAGATCGAGGACCAGCAGGTTCTGGAAGCTGGAGATAAAATGAGGAATCTTCAGCAGTCCGGTCCGGTGGATCTGCCACTCCTGGACCTGACTGAGCTGGACTAGACAGCTAGGCAGAGACTGGGAACATGTAGAATCAGAGAATCAGTGTTGGTGGGGTTCAGGTGACAATCGGAACACCTGTCGGTCTCCTGTGGGCGGAGCTACCTTCCACTCCTCCTGTTCAATTCGCAGGATCAGTCGCCCGTCTTCAGTCTGCAGCTTCTGCTTTAGTCGAGCTAAAACTGCCCGGTCCTCCCAAACACCAACCCCGAGTCTGGACCACCGACAAGGGGAACACTTACTCAATGTTCTGCAAATTCTCCTCATGTTCTCATAACATTCGTCAAACATACAAAAACATTTATAAAACATTCACTAAACATTTGCTGATACTGACATGCAGAATGGTAAGAAAAGTCCTGAGGTTAGTGGGCGGAGTCTGACCTGCCTGTGGCCCCGCCCCTTTCGGTGCTCCTCTTCTGCTCCTCCTGGTTCCTCCTTATCCTCGTCTCCCACAGAGCTTTGATTGAGCTCACCGAGCCGCTCACCAACACACCCGCCATGATGTCGACCAGGTGATGTCACAGCACACAGAGGGACAGGTAGGATGACCTCTGACCTTTAAGCTGCAGTCCCGCCCCCTCACTGACCATCCTGTGACATCATCAATAGGTAATAGGCAGTTTCACTTAATTTCAACTGTTTCTGTGTATTTTCGATGAAATGTCTGGAAAACAATTAAAGAAAATTACCTTAAAGGAAACAATTACACTTAATTAAAAATGGCAAAATGTTCGACAAACAGATGTGTGAAAAGGAAACTCACACCTGCTTTATTTCTACATTTTAACTGTGACTGCAGTACAGCTGTAGTACTGTGACAGTGACTCTGTAATACTCTGTAGTCGTCTCCAGAAGTAGAATAGGAGGCAGAGTCTTCAGCTATCAGCTCCTCTGTTGTGGAATCAGCTCCCAGTTTGGGTTCTGGAGGCAAACACCCTCTCTACTTTAAGGTTAGGATTAAAACTTTCCTCTGTTAAGCTGATAGTTAGAGCTGCTCAGGATCACCTGAACTGTCCCTTAGTTATGCTGCTATAGCTTTAGACTGCTGGGGGACTCCCATGATGCACTGGGCTCCTCTCTTCCTTCCATACAGTTATAACCACCATTACATGCCACTAACTCTGTGTTTTTTTCTCTCTGTGGACGTCTCTGTAACCGGAGCTCTGACCTGCAGCTGCTGGCCTCACCAACCCCCAAAATACTTTCAATTCATATTCATTGTTCTGTTCTATTACTGCTCTCCATCTGCTATCCTGTGGCCCCCATCCCCACTCTGACCCAACCGGTCGAGGCAGATGGCCTCCTTCCCTGAGCCTGGTTCTGTCTGAGGTTTTTTTGCTCCCTTGGGGGGCGGTTTTGGTTCCTTCCCACCACTGCCAACTGCTTCCTCAGAGGGAGTCCAAAGGTTGCTTTGGATTGTTGGGTTCTCTTGTTTAAATCTGTAAGGTCTATACCTTACTATGTTAAGTGCTGTGAGATGGCCTGTATTGTAAACTGTGCTATACAAATCAAATTAACTTGAAAATTGAACTGATTAGTATTGGTAGTAGTGTTACGACATAGTGCAGTCATATAGAGGTATCAGTATACAGTATATCCGTATTAGTGCTGTAGTATTTTCCAGTGTGTTAGTACTGCAGCGTGTTGTCACCTTGCAGCAGAGCAGCAGCGGTCCTCCATACTGTGTCTCTGCAGCTGAAATCTGACCTCAGATCTGCTGGATAATTTTAGCCTTCAGGTCACATGACCCTGCTGATATGACAGTCACATGACCCCATGTTCAGCTGACATCAGAGGAGCATGAATACATCCAATCACCTGATCGGGAACTTAACAAGCTGCAGAAACTGTTAAAAGTGAAACAGAACACACTATAAAAAAATAAAGTTAAAACTACAGACACACAAAAAAAAAACTACAGTTAAAACTATAGACACACTGTAAAAACTGTTTCAGTGTAGAAACCAGTCCAGGACAGTAATTGTTGAACAGAAACACAGTTTGTGCACTTCAGCTTTATTCAAACACTTCTGACAGCAGGAGTCTGAAAACTGATCGACACACCCCCAAACATAGAAAACCCGACAGTTTTTACACCTTTACATTTAATCTGCTGCTAAAACACCACAAAGCAGGAAAAAACATCTGGAATATGTGAGACAAACAGTCGTGTAACATACATCCGACACCATGTGCTTTTCACCCAGCAGCCACCGGGACAGGAACTGGAGATAAAATCAGCGTCAGCTGCACATCTGGACTGAACCATCTGAACATCTGGAGATGAATGAGGGTCAGCTGTAGGTTTGTGTAACCGAAGCTGCAGACAATATTCTGATGTTGGAGAGAACAATCTCACCACGTGGTCCATTTAGCAGCACCTGATCTTCAGTTGTGCTGGAACTGGAGGTGCTTTTGTCAGCACAAAAGTCCTTCAAGTGCTCTGTCAGAATTAAACATCTGCAACTCCTTAAAGCGTCCACCTGCTGGTGAAACTGCTCATTACTCCTGTTTGTCCATCAGTCTCTGAGGAAAAACCTCTCAGCCATAACCAGGTTCTGTTTTAGGCCTTAAAATGACAAATTCTCATAAAAGCAGCTGATAAGGTTTCTTAAAACAGAATGATCATTAACGGAGTGACTGTTCCAGCAGTGATCGAAGGATTTGATCAAACGTGTCAGAGCAGGAACTAAACAGACCTTTAGCTGGGTTTGTCTTGTCTTGTTCATCAGGGTGAAATGGGGAAGCAATTTTTAAGTTTAACTTTGTGAATCTGTGTCTGCACCAAGAGCTGGAAAATAATCTGGTAATTCTGCAGAGTCGAATCTGTGTTAATCATTTGGTCCGTAAATGTCTGAAAGGTGCCCATCATGGTTACATCTCTGGTTACCACAAAGCCCAAAGATGTTTGGTTCTATTTCAGTCAAAGATGATTAATGTGGAGAAGCTTCAATTAAAGAACGAAGATACTTCACCCTGAAAATGACAACAACGGGTTCTAAAAGCTGAGTCTTGCCTAATGCAGCTGCGGGTGGTTCTGAACTCAGACAACATCAGTTGCTGAGTGTATCTGGATCCAGGACCAGGTCAGCAGAATGTTCAGATTATTAGGAAGTGGCACCACAGCGCAGTTTGTTCTGCGCAGAACCTTGCGGTTCTTACAGGAGATAAAGCATCAGAGTGTTCCAAATGTAGTTTGTGGGACGGAGGGACCACAAAACAGTACCGGGTTGGTGTCAACAGCAGACTTCAGTCTGGATTCAGAACTGGCTACAGCTTCACAAAGACAATCAATTCTGACTTGATCTACACAGTAGACAGAACCAGCAGACTCGGGTTGGTTCTGTTCCATCAGAGAAAACTGGTCAAACACTGTTGGGTCGGTTCTGTACAGAGGACAAACTGGGTCACATCCTCCAGCTGACCTAGTTTTGGTCATTTCATTAATTAACTTGTTTTCCACTGCAGGAACATGTTCTGTCAACTGCATCTTTGAACCACAGAAGCTGTCCAGGTAGAACCTCTTTCAGAGTTCTTCCTCCAGGGTCGGTTCATCTGAGGGCCCTGCAACACTGCTGTTGCACTGCACT